AATAAGTTGCCAAAAACATCGGAGTACAGGATGTTGCAAACACCAGAGTCTATCGCAATTCACGTGGAACAACTAGTGCTTTGTATGCAAAAGAAGCAAGTCCAGCCACTACTACTGCCTTGGTCTTCAGTAGAGACTATAAACTCATGGATTTGTATTATTTTCTTTGCTAATTTTACTGACATTCAGATTATTTTGAAGAGTTGGTTTGTAAGGATTAAATTTGTTTTTACGAATTTGACCGCGGATTGATATCGGTTGCTGAATGGTGTACGAGCTTGCCTTGTAACGAAAAGTTCCTGGGTTCGAACCCCAGTGATCGCATACTGCCGATGATTCCCAAACTAGGATGAAACAGCTGTCCAGTACTTCCTGCCTTTCAATGATTCAGTTTATTGTTGTGTTGATGCTACTGAACTGTTATCCGTTGATATTATTGATTCGACATCATGTAAGCATTAATGTTGTTCATAACAGTAATTCAGCCACTACAGTGTTTATATAACTGTAGAACATGATGATGAAGTTACGGAAAAGCGTATATATATATATATATATATATGGATAGATAAATAGATAGATAGATGACACTTTCCTCGTCGGTGACAGAGATCTCAGCAAACAAATCCTCTTAGGTGCTCTCAATTATGTTCCCCCAGCTGTTCAGTTCCCTCATGAGGAAGAAGAAAGTGACAGTGCAATCTTCAAAGATATTCTCATAGCCAGAAAGACAGAGATAATTGAAGAGAAATGTATCCAGAAAGAACACATGAACTGGTCAGTACATAATTTGCATACCATTTCAGTAGAAACGGAATTTAGTTTAATGTCTGAGCTATAGGATGAGCAGAATATGTTTAGACGAATGCATTCATGAAGAAATGCGTAAACCAAAGCCTACACTTCAAGTGAATCAAAATACTTTATAAACGCTCATTGGTGGTACTTCTGTATCTACAAAACACCATAGTTATTGTTTTTGATTACTATTATTTATCAAGCCTTGACGTTCCACTCAACATATTCCATTCGGTCGTTGATTCTCGTGTAATACTATAATACTCTTGCTCAGACCTTCCCTTGAAACATATACTTTTGTCGATTACTAAGGCACGAAATTGTCAGTTAATTACTCAATTTCATTTTATCTCATGCTCTTATTGAACATGCATTTTATTTGCATTCAAATCATATTCTAAAGTCACTGACTAATATTCCATCTTGTACGCACTTTCTGATAAAATTCTAATTTGACTTCATCAACTATTGTAACCTGAAATTAACAGTATTATAATAGTAGAGCCTGAAGAAGAATGTATTCAACTTGATTGTTCTCTCTGATGGGTTTTGTTTTAAGTGGTATCCATTTAGAAGCTTTTCCATGTAAGCTTAAATTCTACAGATTGGAACATGATGTAAACCAATCAGAGATAGGAAATCAGTCTAGGAGTCTATTGTCATGGACGAAGTGCGTGTTTCATATACACGTTCGTCTCTACGCCACATGCACATCCAAACAGAAATAGTCCAATGAGTGTATTTGATTCTTATTCTGAATATAGTTGTCTATCACACTTATGATACTATCAATCTGTAAACTCATTTGTAAGCTAAACACAAGTGATGTATTACACACTATCCTATTGCTTTCTAACACCCATATTACTGCAGATTTCACAGAGATTCTCTGACTTCGGAGAATAGAAGCAATGACGACATTCTAGACCCACTGTAAACTGTTGGAGATCTTATTCATCGATGTAAAGTGGTCACGTAGAGATGATAATTTGTACTGACCACACTTTGGGCAGTCAAACTAGGCTTGTTTCGTAAGTGGATGCTGAATGCTACTCACAATCAACCATTATTTAATAATTCATGCCAATAGCATCATTCTCAAGAAAATCACTGTTCTAGTGAGCAGAATAAGTTGAAGTAAATCTTGGTGATAATATTTTGCTTCTTGACCTCCAACCAATCTGCTAAACATGATCCGCCTCCGTGAAAATATCACAAGTATTTCAAATATTTATTTAGGGATACATTTCCGATATGAGGAAGTGACATGCAACCAGCCTAATAAATGTCACTGAGGCAACTTCACAGTTGTCAGCTTTAAGCATGATATTCACAAGACAGAATCAATTTTTTAATCATATGGAAAATAAGGAGGGCTCCCTCTCCTCACTCCCACTACCAATCCCACTATTCTTTATCGAGAAACTAAATCCTATCATTCGTCTCGAAACGAGACAGGGAAGGTGCATCAGCTGTTTCAAAACAGGTTTGTTTTTTCCTAAACAAACTTCCAATTTTCGATTTCCGCTCCGATTGATTTTGAAGACGATTGAATCTGTCTCTTGAAAATCTGATTCTCTAGTCATAGCGTTATTCTTCTTGCTATAGCGTGACAAATTAATTTCAGAAACGTGCA